GCCTCTCAGTGTGAAGTGAGCCAGGATGATGTCTGATAACTTCCTGTGACGACTTTCAAAATAAAACAACACAGTGCCGATTGTGCATTTTAGGAGGAAGAGATAACAGAGAGGAGAAATACAGATAATATTTTTTAGCAGAAATGTAGCAACAAGAAAAACTCTGGATTTTGACAAGAAGCACTCAGAGAGTTTTGTTATTTGCTCTGTTAAAACCCATTTTAAAAGGCTTGACATAATTTTGAAATTATTTTTATGTGGATATAGTGCATTAATTTTATTACTTAGTAAAATCTGTTTTATTCTTTAGTACGTATTTAACTGGTCATAGCCTGTTATTGTAATGTACATGACAAAATCCTAATGAAATAAATGTTGGTAAAAGCTGATTTTTAAGCATGATTTTAAGGATAAAAGGCATTTTATTAAATTTTGATCTTATTTGACCTCAAGAAGAGGTCAGAGATCCAAAGAAAGGTGATAGCTAGAATCCCCATATATCACTCCCTATATGTCAATATACATATAATACAAACAATGGCAATAAGAAACATAGTTTTAAATAGCCTTGTCTAGAATTATTATTACTTTGGCCTTCAGATCAATCTACTGATCTTGAAGCAGAGGCCAAATGTATTTTTATTCAGTGCTTTCTGTATGTTGATAATACACACCAAAACTTGTAAGATTCATAGTTTCAAATTATAAGGTTTTTGTCCATTTTCCACCAGTAACCATTAAGTTGACCTTGAAGTCCTCGATGGATGTAAATCAACTTATAATGGACTGTTCACATGACCTCACTCTACACTGCTACAAAGTTTTATCAAAATCTAATCAGGAATATGAATTCAAAGTAGTAATGAGATGAAACACCAATTATTGATCACGACTAATAAGGACAGGGCGTCGTGTGCAGGCAGGAGTGGTGAAATGGAGGACCTACAGTGCAGACTCCAGAGACAAAACATGAACTCAAAAATAACAAACTTCAAAATACAAAAACTCAAGCATGCAGCCAAAACACACAGCTTGAATGAGGGTGGATCACGACACAGACAGATGAAAACACAGGGCTTAAATACACATACGGAACAATCAGGGAATGAGAGACAGGAGGGAAACACAGCTGGGGCAAATCAGGGCTGACGAGACAAAGGAAGCAAAACCAGATAACATGAGACAGACTTTCAAAGTAAAACAGGAACTACAGACTGAACTTACAGACACAGACTCATAAGCGGGCACTGCAACAGAGGGAACAGAGACGTGGGACCAGGGCAGACACAGTCACTGACTGGACACAGAACAGAGGGAGTGTGGAAACCAAAACTTAAGAACTACATAATCACACACCAAGAAGAACTTGGGAAAATAGAAATGCAAAACAGAAACCTAAATCTTCACAATAATAAACTAAGATGAGAACACAAATAAAAGGTACAAAACTAAAACCACTGGGTCAACGACCCAGGTACCCTAACACAGAGCAGGCAATTACTAAAGAGGGGAAAAAAAGATAACCTGGCCAGGAAGTAAAAGCACAAAGGGAATGCAAGAAAGGTTTGCTTCCATTAAAGTTTCATAGAAATTTTCCACTTTTTTTCCACTTTTAGTGCTCTTTGGAAAACAGCTCAGTTTCATGTGCAAGATGAGTGGGACTAGTCATGTTGCCTTTTCTTTGACATACTGGATTTTCCCAACTAAATAAACTTGGTTTGGATGACCATCCACTGCACCTCCTCTGCAGTGTGGAAGTCAGAGAGCAGAAAGAAGCAAAGCTGCGCTGGGGTTTAATGTGTGTGCGCGATCTGTTTGGGGCTGTAAGCTGAAACAGGTAGAGTCAGATGATTTTTCAGGTCCAAACCAGGACTTGGCAACAGTCACCCTGCAGGACAGAGCAGCTCTGTTGCTGAAGGCTGTGACCGATGAGCCTTTCCCACCGTTTGTCAACGTGTGGGAGGATAAAGCGCAACTTCCTCAGTTTACAATAAGGACGCTCAGAAATGAAGACTATTGAGGAAGCTCTAACTGGTTCTGCATTCTGTGCTGCAGTTCGAGTGGTACGGATATAAACTGTGAAA